TCCTTGATCAAGCCAATACTTGCCACATTTGACCTTGAAAGTGCTTGAACCACTTGAATGGGAGGCAACAAGTCCTTTTCATCTATATGCTTCATTACGGAAAGTAATTCCTGCCTTGACTTGACCAAGACTTCAGGTGAAGACGAAAAGTAAGACAAGACCATGGGATATAAGGAAGCATCTTTAGGACTAAAAAACAGATTCATTAGTAAGTAAGCAGCGTGTACGCTTTAACATTGCTCTTTTACCCATATTTCCGTACACCTTCAATAACTCGTTCTGTCGACTCTTTTTCCATCCAATGATGTAAGATATCCGTATACATGCCTGTTTTCTCATACAAATAAACGATCCCTTCATCAAACTGCTTCAACTGACAAAGTACAAGCGCTTGGTTGGTGTCATAATCAACTGATTCATCCTTTAACAGTGCCAATGCCTTTTGACGGGACTCTTTGTTGGACTTCATCAAATACAGTTCTAAGAGCGTATTCCAAATTGAATTATATTCTTGTTCTTTCGAAGACATCAGGATGCTCAATACTGCAATTTCTTACATTTTGACAAAGAGCATACAACCGTAATGGAAGTTTCTGGTTAAAAGTGAGTTTCCCCTCCATTCTTGACAATGTTGCTTTTGAGAAAGTTTTCAGAAAGAGAGCTACTTGGTACATGTTTTAACCAGTTGAACTTGCCCAAAAAATGATCTTTGTCATAAGCAATATTATACAAAGCCCTTTAATAGTTCAATATAAGTAACAGCATGTCTAGGTTTACATGTCTTGTCAAAAGGCTTTATTTTATGTAACCTGCTTAATAAAGACAAAAAAAGACGGTCCACCAGCTCAAAAATGCAAAACTTTTACCAAAAGAAGTGTATCTCAGGGGGTCAATGAGCAGACCCAGCGTGCGAAACTATTCCATGTAAATTTAACAGAGATGTCAATTTAGTATATATCAAAGAAATAAACCGAGTTTTCAAAACTTTATGACAGTGAAAAGCTCTGCTCTTATTGTACAAGCATAATCTCTGGCTTTACGGAGTTAAATCCATTCGCTGAAGCAAACTGGAACAAGCTGTGATGCCTACTGTCTTTTGAGTTACTTGCAGTGGCAAAATAATAAAAAAGGCTATTCTTTAGGAGTCACTGATGTGGATAATGAATCAAATGCTATGCTGCTCTGTTATGGATGAACGAGTTCATAATTAAACACGATAACAATAACTCAAAGGTTAATCTTGTTCCCTTTATTTGTCTTTATTAAATAGCAAGGTTATTGCTACAAGGTGTAAAGGGCAAAGCTCAAGATGATTTAGGATGAACAAGACGAATTTAATTTGTGATGATGATCATTTTATCTCATTGGTTATCCTCGTGTAACAGTAAACTTTATCCCATCTTGTTACCTCTTTAAAGTGCAGCGAATATTTTTAGAAGTCTGTTCTGTCTCTCACTCTCTTTTTCTGTCTCTTTCAAATAAACCCCGCCCTTGTTTTTTTTCTCTTATAAAAACTTCTCCCTTTTTTCCCTTTCTTCTTTTCTTGTTGTTACCCCCCGTTTTAAATAGTGAATATCTTTTTTTCTCTCTCTTTTTCTTCTTTCTTTACAAGCATAGAATAATTTAATCCAACCAAAACAAAAAAAAGCATAGAGAAAAAAAAAGAGAAAGCCTTCTCTTTTAATATACAATAATAATATAATAATAATAATAAATGCATAAAAATAATAGCAACAATTCATCCTCCACCAACATAGTTGGAGTACATTATAGAGTTGGAAAAAAGCTGGGTGAAGGAAGTTTTGGTGTATTGTATGAAGGTTTTTTGGTCAACATAGATAATAAGTCATATAGAATGCATAATAAACAATGACATTATAGGTCTCAATTTACTAAATAATCAATCTGTGGCAATTAAGTTTGAACCAAGGAAATCAGATGCACCTCAACTCAGAGACGAATACAGAACATATAAAGTACTTGCTGGTTTACGTAAAGTGTAATCATATCATACAATCCATTACTCATTCGGGATCAATAGCCGGTGTTCCGAGTGCTTATTACTTTGGACAAGAAGGATTGCACAATATATTGGTGATTGATCTATTAGGTCCAAGTCTAGAAGATCTATTTGACATGTGTGGTAGAAAACATTCGATCAAGACAGTTGCCATGTTAGCCAAACAGATGGTAAGGAGAGTCAAAAGGATAATTAATCGTGAGGGGAATAAATTGTATAGTTACACACATTAGATTGATAGAGTGGAAAGTGTCCATGAAAGAAATTTGATTTACAGAGATATTAAGCCAGATAATTTCCTTATTGGCAGACCAGGCACAAAATATGCCAATACAGTATTCCTTATTGACTATGGTATGGCCAAGCTATATCGTGATCCAAAGACAAAGCAGCATATACCTTACCGAGAACGTAAAAGTTTGTCGGGAACTGCTCGATACATGAGTATCAATACCCATTTAGGAAGAGGTACAATCATATATTTGCCTTTTGGTTAATACATGTAATTAACTCTATAACAGAACAATCAAGAAGGGATGATTTGGAATCTTTGGGTCATGTGTTTATGTACTTCTTGCGTGGTTCGTTACCTTGGCAAGGCCTCAAGGCAGCTACCAATAAACAAAAGTATGAAAAAATAGGCGAAAAGAAACAATCAACCTCGATCAAGGAACTCTGTGAAGGGTTTCCAGGTAAAAAAAAAATATTATTTAGCTGAGTAAGGGCAATATGTAATATTCCATTTAGAGGAATTCGGAATCTATTTACAGTATGTTCGTAAATTGGGCTTTGAAGAAACACCAGATTATGACTTCTTACGGGAACTGTTTAATAAAGTACTCTATCGTCTGGGAGAAAAAGACGATGGTGTCTATGATTGGATGTTGTTGAACAAAGGACCCGAGGTAGAGGGCATGACAAAATTGTTGCTCAGCTCATATATATTAACCATGTATACATAGACAAGGGAAAGTAGACGTCAAGCTAGAGAATTACTTCAACAGCAACAACTGGCGACAACACGTAAATCAATAAATCATTCAGTCAGAAGACATGCTTCTCAGCCCAAGATGACGGTCGATCCATCTGCACCTCCACTACCAAACAATATCAGTACAACAAATAATACGACAACTATGCCCTCTAAGCAAATAACTATAGCTAATAATAATACTAATAACAACTATCAACTGATGCTTGAGTCACCTAATCATGGTGGTCTTAACACAACCTATGACCAAACCAAACAAGAGCAACAAGGTCATCAACAACGCGGTCTTTGGCAAACTTTGATGTCCTTGATGACTTGCGGTATTCATTAAAGAAATATATATGTATACAATATATGTCTTTTTTTGGTTATTTCTTTTTATAAAGCAATAAAAAAGTTTATATCTATGATTATGGATTATTAATGAATATATATATACTGAACAAGAGATCTATGCAATGGTACTCGCCTGGTTGTTGTACGAATTGGCAGCTATATGGCTCAGGTTTGTCTAGCCAATAAACCAGATGGTCCATTAGAGCTTATGCCTCGGTTTACGCTCTCAACGCAAGAAGGTGAATTGCCATTCATCCTAGCAAGAAAGCAATTTCCTGTCAGGCTATACTTTGCTATGACAATTAACAAATCACAAGGACAATCATTAAAGCATGTAGGCATAGACCTCAGAAGACCATCGTTTATACATGATCAGTTATATATCGCTCTTTCAAGAGTCACCTCTTTCTGGCATCTCAGTCTTTCTGCCAAAAGCTCAACTACAGCTAACAACGTTGTCTACCTAGAGTTGCTACATCACTAATATGCCCACCTATATTGCACAACGTATGGTCGTCAAACAAATGCATGCCCACAATTATGAATTCTTTATGGCTATACCATTCTTCTTTAACGCATAAAGATTTGCGAATAACACTTTTAAATTGCATGCTCTCTATTATGAATAAACTTTAATTTTATGAAGCCGTGTATGTAGCACTGTTGCATCAACAAACGCGAATAAGCGTGTACAGAGGAGTCGGAGTATGTTGCTAGGAGCACAAAAATTCAAATTTAGCCATTCACTTAAAGCGTCGTATTAACAATTGCCCTTACTCATCACAAAGGGCAAAGCCCTTAAGCCTTCGGCAACACGAAGACGTGCAAAAACGAGCGTAGCGAGTTGGAAGCGGCTAGTACCACTAACATGCAATAGAATTAGAAAAAAAATACGTCGGAAAATATGCAAGTAGCACAAACTTTTACCGGAAATTAATCGCACACTGAGCCTTTTTTTACAATTTGTTCGAACCGAGTCTCGGATTACAGTCATATTCACTAATATTGCGCTCCCATCTTGACACTTATTAGAAAAATGAAAAACAGCAACCAAAGTGCAATCAACTGCTCTTCCTGCCATGCACTTTTACCCGTTAATTCACGTCATCGTACCTGTCAAGCATGCAGAGAACGTGTAGCAGCATCTCGCCGCAGACGCCGTACCGAAGACCAACAAGAAGGAGCTGGTGCCGCTACTAGACCTAGAGGCAGGCTAAGAATAACAGCTGAGTCTGCTGATGCTGAAAGTAGATCCAGAGGCAGGCCCAGGGCAAAATCTGCTGCCTATTTCTCGCAGCTTTCTCGCCTTTGTCCTTTGAAATTTGGATGCATGGGCAAGGAATGCTCCTGCTGTCACACCCTAAACTGGATTGATGAAAGGCAAGAAGCATCTTCGATGAGAAATCCAAGCCGGGAATCATATTGTAAGCAGGGATCAGTCCAATTACAACTCTTGCCTGGCCCACCTGAGTACTTGAAGGACTTGCTTGAACGTACAGACACCCAAAGCCGTCACTTTAAGGACAGCCATCGTCAGTATAACGCTGCCTTTGCGTTTACCTCTTTGGAATGCGACATTGTCTCAGCTGAGGAACGTAATGCCAATAATAACAGAGGTAGACTTAACGCATTTCAAATCTACGGCGCCCTTTGTCACTGCCAAGAGCCTCTACTTCCAGTTGAGGGCAACACATCTTCGTATGCTTAATTGTATATATATGGTCATTCGTATGCTGCTCAGAGACGATCAGAAAGGAATGAAAATCTGGATAATGAGATTATAGAAAACCTTTCAACTCTGCTTTCTCAAGGCAATCCCTTCGCACGCATTTATCATCATGCATATAAGATATTGACTAACCATGAGAGCTCCAGCATCAGCAGCGAGGATAGAGCTAACAGCAATGGCTCTTCCGAAAGCGAGTCACATTATATTATCATATGTCCCTCGATGAAGGAGGTGATAGACGTGCCCAGGATTCACCAACAATGGAGGAGGTTGTCGCTGCTATTCAAATTTAATATAATCACAGAAACTCCCGTGGCATCGTTCTTATCTTGAGAAGCAACAATAGCAATGATAGCCTTTGCCGAGGACGTGATTTTGAGTAAAGCTTTCAGTTTATCAACCAGGCTCATGCTGCACAAATGCCAACATACTCTGCACTGCTATTTCCTCATAGAACATGTGGGCAACGTTAGAGTTTGTGCCTCTTCTTTTCCCTATTTACTATTACTTCTTTTACCACTGTTTCTGATGCTTAGATGATGGCCTATGACCATCTTGTGCCATTTTAGTATCCTTATCCCATCACTTTTATAAAGATAATAACTTTGAGTATCACATCAGAATGTGCAATATGTTAAAAGTAGAGTGCGTTTTCATTCGAGAAACATTTTACTATTGTCGATCGTTAATTTAACATGACGAAGCTAACATAGTTACTTTTCCTTTTTCCTTTTTTTCTTTACTTCAACATGAAACGAAAGAAGGATGCGATCCTCTGCCTTCAAAGGCAAAGCGCAATTAAGGGAAAGGTATGTAGGTATAAGGTTGATATGGTATTTATTAAGGGTCCATTAGCCGTCGTTCGCAGGCTCCCTTCTTTGTTTGCGCAAACGCAAACAAGTTTATTCAGCAGTACAGCTTTCGAAGCAAGTGGTGATGATTTTCAAGAACCTCCATTACTTAGAGAAAGTAATGATGACATCTATTTGTTCCATCTGTTTTATAACTGAATGTTGTAATAGACAAGAGCATCTGTACTACTTTGAAAGCTGCTAAAAAAGATATATCTGCTCCCGGTTCTTCAAATGCTGTTACCAGTGACAAGACACGTATGCCTACAGTCGACAATGATACGAGTGTTCAAGCTGTATTGCTTGCTCCTATTCCTTCCACTAGCTGTACTTCTGCTCCCATCAAGACAAATTTAATAAAACTGACGCGCTTAAAAAGGAAAAAGAAAAGAACAAGGTGACAGGCAATGAGCAAAAACAAGCTTAATGTCCTTCTTCTCGTGGAATCGATCACTCTCGCTTCTCCAGCAAGCTATGTCCTATGAATAAGTCAAACAGAGCCTCCAAAGCCTAACGATACCGTCGAGGAAACTTTTGTGATCAAGATATCTTTAGCTAATATTTGCAAATATCCCAAGTTCGTTACCTTGATTCAAGAAGTAGTTGGCTACATTACTCAACTGGTATAAGCTGGATCCATTTTTGCTAATTACTGTTGCTTGAAACTTCTCGAAAATGGTGAAAAACTACTTATTGTCAGTCAAAATCTGTTCTACAACATATTTTTCATCTTTTCTAGCCAAGGAAAGCATGCCTCTGACAGTATCAAGAAGAGCTTCAAGGTCTTTTGTGAATCTACTTTTCTTACTCAATCTGGAACAAAGCGAAGAGTACGCTCTGTCTTCAAGCGCGAATCTTGTAGTACAGTGTGGGACCGCGATGTGAACAGTGCAATAAATATATATGGTATCTTTGTTTACAAATCAAAACACGACAATGAAAATTCTCCCCCTCCCTGCAAAAGGCTTTCAAAAGATTAACGGTGCTCTCTGGATTTAGTGCGCTGTCTATAACTGTAGTGCATTCCCTAACGCCTCTGTAAGTATAAAGGAAATAATATATTATCTTTTATTCATTAGTTTTCTAGTTAACGAATATTTGGTATGAAAATTTAGGGAGAAAGCATTAATAAATAAAATATGTTGTGGCAACTTTTCATCTCCGCTGAAACGGGAATGAATATCTTTAGGTAGATCCTCCCGTTCAAAGAACAGTAAGGAGAAATCATTCGTTTGAATGGTGTAAATCATAATTATACATATCTTTAACGATAAGAGACATATTGTTTCCAAGTAATATCAATCCAAATATTTGGGAACAAGATATAAATCAGGAAAAATAGTAAGGATTGTCAGGGGGTTAGGGTTAATCTTTATAAATAAAAATTGCAATATTTAAAGTCAAAAAGATGCTCGACTGGACAACATTAGTCCACCTCTTGAATGAGGGAGGGCGACGTGCGAGCGTATTCGGTGTATAACCGTGTCAGGGTCAAAAGGAGTGTTATGAAATATATGTGAAGTCAATGAGCTAACCATACTGCAGGTAAGGTACAAGAAAGGGAACTGGAAGGAGGAGGGACATATGCCTGTAGGCTAATCTAACAACCGGAAGACGTAAAGAGAATATAGCTGTATGAAGAGTATGTGTACTAAAAGGAGTGTCGAAAAGACCTCCAAACTATCTTTGTCAATAATCATTTTCTTGAGACTTGAATGTTCCCTACATAAGATTTTTGGTCAATTTCTATCGTGGAATTTACTTTTTGTTGATTATCTTAACAAATGTTTTATGTCTCCCATATTGGTCATTTGAAAAAACGTACATCTTTGGATTTTCTTTTAAAAAGTTGTACCATTTGTGTTTTCCAATTTTGGAAGAACTTCATGATCATCCAAGTCGCGTTTCGTAAAGGCTGATTTTGCACTCGAATAGGAGGACACAAATACGCGGTCGGCTAGTGATCTTTGAAGTAAAAGGTTTATCATTCGTTGCAGAAGGCCTTTTAAATCCTAGGTTGGGATTGTTGTATTCAACTTTGCCTTCGTAAAAAGCAATGAAGTCGCTAGTTTGCAAAGTGAGTTTTATAGGGAGATTGAATGTTGTCCGGGTGATTTAGTTTGGTCAATGTGATTATTTATCAATGTATTCTAATAGCTACTATTGTTGCTTTTATAAGTCATTCTTATCAGATGCTATAGAGAAATGTATGCTCTACTCTAAAATGTAGAGAATTATGATGATTTATATCAAACACGTCATTCATTTTCCAAAAAATTGATTTTTAAACGCAAACCACCGCACATGAGTATCCATACCCATTTAGGAAGATGTGTAAGCAAACTACATAAATACATGACGTGTTTTATTTATTATATGATTATGCTTATTATTATTACTCTTGTTATCTTGGTGTGGTATGAAATGAATGAGAATGAGACATTCTAGCAGTAGTACTTGTGGATTTAGAAGGTTGCATCATCATTGGCTGGTTATAGTACATGACAGGATACATTGACATGTATTGCTGTTGTTGCATTAGTTTCAATTGTTGTTCTCGTTGGTAAGCTTGCATACGATCCCATTCATGCTGTAACTGTTGTTGATGCTGCATCATCTGTTGTGTCTTTCTACGATGAATGAGTTCAGGCTCACTCTTCATATGTCTAATGGGTTGCTGTGGAAGATGGCCTTGCTGTTGGTATAATTGCTGAGGATGATGCTGCATTTGCAGCTGTAATTGTTGTTGATGTTGCAGTAATTGCTGCTGTTGATGATGTGGTAGAGGAGGGGTCAAGGGGTAATCGGAAGAGGAGGAGGGAGTTGAAGCGGAATGATCTTGAGAGTTTCTTCTGCTATGGCTTGATTTTTTCTTGCTTTTTTTCAGATTAGGAGTTGATCGTGATGACCTCATTGTTCGTCTGTGCTCAGTTGAGGGAGTGGTACCCTTGACACTGGTAAATGACTTTTTTCTTTGAATGACCGAGTATGATTCGTCATCTTCACTGATTTCGCCATCTGCTTCGGCACCGTCTCCTTCGTCGTGAGTGTCATCGTCCTCTTGTTGTTTAGGTTCTTCTTCTTTCGCAGCAGATGAGAGAGAAGATTGCGTGGATGTAGCCTGTGTAGCGTATAGGCTCGTGTTACTGTTAGTAATATTACTGCCATTGTTAAACACATGAGGTGCTTGTTGATATACTTTTGTTTGTGGGTATTCTGACACAGCAGGTTGAGGATGAACTTCGGTAGGTAACAGCTGTTGTTGTTGAGGTAGTGGTAGTTGTTGTTGCTGTTGTTGTAGTGGTGGTGGTGAAGAGACAGTAGCAGGGAATGAAGGGAAGATACCACTGTTATTATTGGTATCCATCATTAAATTTCCTGGGTGTTGTAATACATAAGGCTGTGGAACCATGTTCATCATCATCATATTTTGCATTTCCTGTTGTCGTTGAAGAGCAGCCAGTTTGACTTGATTTCGATGTCTGTCCTTCATTCTTTCAATCATTGCCTCATTTGATTCGACGCGATTGGCGTTTGGGTCAACACGATTAGTCCAGGAATCAATCTTGCGTTTCAGACGATGATCCTGTGTACGTCGTTCCATGATTGGACGTATGCCTCTTGTTACACGGCCATCCTCATCCTCATCATCGTCCTTTTTGGATTCTTCTGAATCCGAAATGTCCGAGTCTAAAACCTTCATGGTTGTGACGGGCGGTCTTAGTGTGGGCGTCGAGCTGCTAGCGATAGGTGTTGTGCTCTTATTATTATTGCTAATATGACTGGCATTTAAAAGCGAAGAAAACATGGATGTATCAGGAGATGAAGTGTCATCCAGCGCTGATAGATTTTTTAAATAGTTACTATAAATACTGTCACCTGTCAATAAGTTGGATTGTTTCTTTTCTACAGTTTGATTCGTCGTCTTGGGTGTTTCCTTCTTTTTTAAAGGTTCGTCATGATTCAAGTCTAGTTTTTGAGATAAAGCCAGAGCTAAAGAAAAATCATCGAGTAAGCTTTCTTCCTTTTTTGCTGAAATAAGAAAACATTAGGTAACGGCGCAAGTATTCCTTTTTAATCTCTATGTTACCCGTAGGTGAATTGAGTTCAGCCAAGATATCATCAAACAAACTTCCTGAGCCAGCAGTTACCGTTTGTTGTTCTTGTTCTTGTCGTGGTTTTAATGGTTCATCAAGTGATAAAGTAGGTAAAGAAGGTGGAGCAACAGGAGGACTCTGCTCTATGATTGATTTCTTTTTATTTTTTTTATACAGGCTTCCAATCTTTAAAAGCCCCATGTTTTAAGTTAAAGAAAGAGAAAAGAAGAAAGAATGAGCGTCTGTTTATAAAAACTATTCTTTATTGTGTCACCTCAAAAACGTGTTTTCACTTTTTTATTAATTTGAATGAACTCTGCAAATTGTGCGTCCCCTTTTCTATTTAGCCACACTTCACCCCTTCCCCTTTCATCCACCATCTATCAATAAGGTCACGTGAATTGAAATGAAAGATCCAGGGATATAATGAAGTCTAGCCCTTCTTTAAAGTGTTACACTAACAGTAAATGAAGCATTCATAAAAAAGGGTTATTATTAACATTTTTGAAAGTATTCATCCCCTCCTTTCTCCCTTTCTATTAAATTTATTATATTTCTACCTCTTTTAACAAAAAGGAAAAGAGGGGTTCGCTGATAGACAAACATTCAACAAATTCCCCTTTCCTTGTGTAAGATTACACAAATACCGGAGTAGAAGAAGGCATCTCTTCTTTTCTCTTCTTTTTCTCTTTTCAACTAAACCATGAAAAAGCAGGTTCTATGGGACCTTTGTGCTTCTGATGCCTCTCTTGTAAAAACACTCAAAGACAACTATGAGGCGAACCAGCTTTATACTCGTATAAGCGACAACATCTTGGTCTCATTAGCTCATTCTACTCCATTTGACCTGACAGCATCTCTAGACTATGCCACAGAATACAAGGATACGACTGGATCAATTAGTCCACTTGCGCCTCATTTATTTCAACTCATAAACCAAGTCTATCTTCATATGAGAAGAACAGGCATAAATCAATCGATTCTATTGCAGTAAGCATTGATCCCCTTTTTTATGCTCTCACAGGGCACTTATTTTTATCTTTGCTATAGTAACAAATATCAAAGCAAAGACACATCTCAGTCTATCCTTTCACATCTTGTGACTCTCAGTGCTCATAAAAAGGAAACAAAGCTGCAAACCCAGATCTTACAGATCAACACCATCTTGGACGCCTTTGCAGATTCATGCGGGAAATACATAGAGATTCAGTATAACGAACGCGGCAGGATGATCGGATCGAAACTATTGACCTTTTTATTTGATAAACGACGAGTCATCAGCCGACACAATTACCCGGTATTCTATCATCTATTGTTCGGCGCATCTCCAGAGGAGCGATCCCTTTTTTCATTACCCGCCACCTTTGAATCCCGATATGTTCGATCTGATCAGCCATACGAAGATCAAGAGCAGTACGAATGTCTGAAGGCTGCGATGAGAATATTAGGTTTAAGCGCAAAAAGGACGTCAAGGATAATGCATCTACTTGCTACTTTACTTCATTTGGGCCAATTGGAATTTGCTAAAGGCGAGGAGGAAGGAGCTTATGTGAAGAACGTACAGGAGCTTGAATGGGTTGCGGATGCTCTCGGTGTAGATGCTCGTGCACTCGAATTTGCATTGACTTACAAGACACAGATGATCAAAAAGGATGTCACTACGCTTATTCTTGATCCCAAGCAGGCCTCCGTGCAACGCGATGAACTCGTCTCGACGCTTTACTCTCTTTTCTTCAATTGGCTGGTGGAGTACATCAACACCAAATTATGCAGCAACGATGACCTGAACCTCATCGGTATTCTCGATTTACCCTCCCATTCATCTCTCGGCAACTTTCAAGCCCTGTGCATCAATTACGCCAACGAACGTTTGCATGACTATATCCACCAATACCTATTTGAAACAAGCGTGCAAGAGCACAAAAATGACGGGTTAGACTGCGATTTTGTGCATACCCCTGCGTCCGATTGTCCAGAATTTTTGAACAATATGATCGATATCATCAGCAGTTATTCCAAGAAGAGCGACTATACAGATGATAAACAAGGTAGAGCCTTGGTAGATGCCGTTTCAAATAACAACAACAGCAATTGCTTTTCACTTGAAAAATCAGAAACAGGAGCTCCTCTCTTTGCAATTCAGCACTTTACAGGAGATGCATTGTATACGCCACGATTTATTGAAGCCAACAGAGACGCGATCGATCCAGACTTTGTAACTCTGTTTGTAGGTAATAATGCAGACTTTCCTGCTTCGATTAACTCGTTTGTTGCCGGTCTTTTTGAGCAAGTGGTGACCGAGCACCATCCTAAACAGCAAGGTGCTATCGTCAGCGCACAATCTGGACTAGGTCGTTCACCATCCACAAGGCGATCCAAGTCAGCAGAGAACGAGAAGTCACGATCTAAACCAAAGACATCCCTTGTCCTCAAACAGCTCAAGTCTTTGCTGGGCGATATCTTTTCAGCTCTAGATGAAACCATTCCTTGGTTTGTTTTTGTCATTCAACCCACATTTAGCTCCATTCATTTTGATTCATCTTTTGTTCAAGATCAAACAGACTCGCTTGGTCTTACATCTATTACTGAGCGATACAAGTCAGTAAGGAACTTGCTGAATATCTATACATACCAAGACTTTTGCGAACGCTATGCACGGGTGCTGAACGGATTGAACATAGAGCATGATAGAGAATTGAGTTCGAGATGTCAAGCCGCATGCGACTTACTAAACTGGCTGCCTAATGAAGACTATAGAATGGGACATACAAAGGTATGATTTCTGATAAGTCAAGTGTCCGTTTTCTTGAATTAATCATCATTTCAGATATTTATGAATGATAAAGTGTGGAAACAGCTGGAGGATATGCTGCGGTCTGCGGAAAAGGAAGAACAGAGAAAACAGAAAGAGCACCAAAACTTGCAACCAGTACGAGACATTGGCGACGAATTTTCAGTAGCCCCAACTAATTCCACCACAGGGTCTAATGCCGATCTTATTAGTAACAACAAAAAGCAGACAAAAATGGCCGCTGCTGCAGCATCAGCAGCAGGTCTCCCTCTCCCTTCCCTTCGCCACAGCGGCTATTACTCAGAAGCCTCCCTTGCCTCAGCAGATCAACAATACAACTATGAAACCGATACAGTCTCTGAGGCGTTTGGAGCATCATATATGGAGCTCAAGAATATACCACAACAACAAACACTGCCAATAGAAGAAGAAAAACACGAAATGTCAGGTGTCAGAAAACGCTGGCTCTTTTTCGTCTGGTGCATGACTTGGTGGATCCCATCTCCCTTTTTGACCTGGTGCGGCGGAATGAAGCGTAAGGACATCCAAATTGCCTGGCGAGAAAAAGTCACTCTGTGCACAATCATCCTTTGCTTATCGGGTTTTATCATTTGGTTTCTCGTCTTTTTCGGTAAACTGATCTGTCCTCATCAAAACGTCTTTTCACAATCCGAGTTGCAAGCGCATACGTCTCCTGGGAATGCATATATTGCTATTCGTGGCGAAGTCTTTGATCTGACTAAATTTGCGCCCCATCACTGGGCAAATCAGGTCATCTCGACTTCTGCCATTATGGCTTATGCCGGTAAGGACGCAAGTGACCTTTTCCCTGTGCAAGTCTCTGCTCTCTGTCAAGGCGTGAATGGCTCTGTCTCTGAATACGTGTCCCTAGATTATCATTTTAATCTTACCGATACAAACTCCAAGTACCATGATTTCCGTGCATGGACAGACGATTATCGACCCGATTGGTACTTTGAACAAATGATGTACTTTCGCAAAAATTACAAACTCGGCAGCATGGGGTACAGTTCTGCCGAAGTTTACAAGCAAGCTACCGTGCCGGCTGATATCAGTGGAACGAAAACCCTCAGGACATGGGCCATTCTGAACGGCAGTATCTATGACTTGACCTACTATGTAGCAGGCGGTCGACGTGTGCAGTTTCCAGAAAATGCAAGCAACAGAAGCGCAGACGGAATCGAGGTAGATTACATGTCAGACGTGGTTGTCAACCTGTTTCGTCAAAAGTCAGGACAAGATATCTCTCAGCTTTGGGCAGCTCTACCTCTAGATCCAGAAGTACGTTATCGTCAAGAGGTATGCTTGAGGAACTTGTTTTATGTTGGAGCAGTCGACGAGCGAAATTCAGCCCGATGTATCTTTGCGGAATACCTCCTTTTGATCGTCACGATTTTTCTTTGCTTGGTCATCGTCTTTAAGTTCTTGGCTGCCCTTCAGTTTGGTACAACACGTGAGCCTGAAGTGCACGACAAGTTTGTGATATGTCAAGTACCTTGTTATACCGAAGGAGAGGACGAACTTCGGAAGACGATTGATTCGATTGCTGCGTTACAATACGACGATAAGAGAAAGCTCTTGTTTATCATTTGTGATGGTATGATTGTAGGCGGCGGTAACGACAAGCCCACGCCGCGTATCGTCTTGGATATCTTGGGGGTTGATCCATCTGTAGACCCTGAGCCTTTATCGTTTCTTTCTGTGGGAGAAGGGCAAAAGCAGCACAATATGGGCAAAGTTTATTCTGGACTATATGAATCTTCGGGACATGTCGTGCCTTATATTGTTGTGTCCAAGGTAGGCAAGCCTAGTGAACGACAGAAACCGGGCAACCGTGGTAAACGAGACTCACAGTTGGTCCTGATGAGATTTTTGAACAAGGTGCATTTTAATGCGCCCATGACCCCGATGGAGCTTGAGATATATCATCAGATCAAAAATGTGATTGGTGTCAATCCTAGCTTTTACGAGTTTGTGCTTATGGTAGATGCCGATACTGAAGTGATGCCAGACGGACTCAATCGTCTTGTCTCTGCCTTTGTTCATGATGCCAAGGTCATTGGTCTGTGTGGTGAAACGAAGCTGTCGAATGAAAAGGATACCTGGGTGACGATGATCCAAGTCTATGAATACTTTATTTCGCATTACATGATCAAGGCATTTGAATCGCTCTTTGGATCCGTGACCTGTTTACCAGGTTGCTTTTGTATGTACCGTATTCGCTCGCCTACCAAAAATCAGCCATTGCTAGCGTCCAATCAAGTAATCGAAGATTATCAAATTAACCGTGTAGACACCCTTCACAAGAAGAACTTGTTGCATCTTGGTGAAGATCGTTATTTGACAACGTTGATCTTGAAGCATTTCCCCAGCTATAAAACTAAATTTGTTGCTGATGCCAAATGTGCTACCAATGCACCTGATCAATGGAGTGTCTTGCTCTCTCAGCGTCGTCGTTGGATCAATTCGACCATTCATAACCTTGGCGAACTTGTCTTCTTGCCGCAACTTTGTGGATTCTGCTGCTTTTCAATGCGATTTGTTGTCATGCTGGATTTGGTCAGTACCCTAGTTCAACCTGCCATTGTCGGCTACCTTGCCTATCTTATCTATACACTAGCTACCTCAACAAGTAACATACCTCTCATGTCCATCATCACCATTGCTGGTGTTTACGGTCTTCAAGCGATCATTTTTATACTTCACAGAAAGTGGGAACATATTGCCTGGATGATTGTCTCCATCTTTGCTATCCCCGTATTTTCATTCTATATACCCATCTACTCTTATTGGCATTTTGACGATTTCTCATGGGGAAACACACGTGTGGTACTTGGAGAGAAAGGTAAAAAAGTCATTGTTGGTGCAGACGAAGGTCAGTTTGATCCCAATTCGATTCCAACCATGACATGGGACAAGTACGAAGAAGGGCTCTACTATGATCCTGCAATAGAGGTTATGTCTGTCGGATCTGGTAGTCAATATACCCGTAGTTCAAGTAATACCAGGCCGTCAAGAAACACTAATCAGTGCTCAAGTAGTCAGCTGTTTAAATCATCACCGTCGTTTGTTTTGAATAATCAGCATAACCCTCATCATTCTCTAGCGAGCGGCATGACATACCCTTTATCACCATTACAAAGATACGAATAATAAAGCCCTTACATATTATATAATGTATTAATCAAATTTCGTGTATTTCATTGAATATCATGCAATGAGCTCAGGCTGGGATCAACTCACTTTATTTCAATCTCAGACAGGAACAAATGCAGTAAATGCAGTCAACATGGTGGCTTATAAGCCTCATAGTCCAATGTTTCCCATTTTCTTAAATTGTCTCCACCCCTGCTTTGAGGTTATCAGCAAAGGAATATGGCTTCTCGCTCATTATATAAAGCAATTGCTTCCTCTAGCAGAAGCTTTGTACCACGCCAAAGTAAAATAACCAGATGATAACCATGTTAACTATTTGCTCAACCTTCTCTCATTTGTAGGCTTTTTAAGACATTTTTCAGCTGTCAAAGTCAATCAACAATCGATACCTCCTGTTTCAACCGATGAACAAGTTACACCTGAATCACTCGGTACTTATACAGTCTCAATTTTCATAATGCGATATTAACTTCGTTGCTAGTTCCTCCTCCATCAACACCTGTCAAAAAATCGCTTCGACGAGCTGTAGCAGAAGCAGTTGAACCTGTGACACCTTACAACTTGACGATCTCAAGACTGATGGCTGCCGGTCTTCACCTTGGTCATTCTACTAGTCTTTGGGAACCAGCAACACTTCCCTTCATCTTTGGTACTCGCGAGGGTATCAGTATTATCAACTTGGAACATACGATTGTTCACTTGAGAAGGGCCTGCAATGTCGCTAGAGAAGTGTCACTGCGTGGAGGTTCCATTCTGTTTATTGGCACTCGTCCTGGATTCCAAGAGTTGACGATTGAAGCTGCTCGTCGATGCGATGGTTATCATGTATCTTCAAAATGGATTCCTGGTGCATTGACCAACAGACACCAGGTCTTGGGTCGTCACGCACCACCTGATCCAGAAGATCCAGGTCGTCCACCCAAGACATACAAGCCTGATTTGATTGTTCTGTTGAATCCACTTGAACATAAAATTGCTATTGCTGAAGCACAACTCAATAATATTCCAGTGATTGCGATTACGGATACAGATTATGATCCTCGTCAAGTGACTTATCCCATTCCAGCCAACGATGATTCGATCCGAGGTGTAGAGTTAATCGCAAAGGTTATTTCAACTGCAGCCAAAGAGGGATTAGTTAAAAGAAAGCAACTGCTTGATCAAAAAGATAAAGAAGAAAAGATTATTAGAAGACAACACTCCAACTATAAAGCCTAATTTCACTTCATTCCCCTTCCTTTTTCTCTTTCTTTTGTATAAAATAAACTGTGTGTATTTGGTTAAATGAATGCATGTTTTTTTTAAAAAAAAATGTTACACTTGAGAATCATTCAGCCACACACAACATACATTTTATTATTATAAGCAGAAACAACAATATTTCTTTATAAACGAGAATGATCTCTTACGAAGAGAAGGTCGATTTAGTAAAGAAACGCGATGAAAAAAGTTTGATTTGGATGCTTGCTGCAGTACATGAGATGCTGCCCAATGATTCTCACAGAGATCAAGAGGGATACTGAAATAAGCCTTACAAGCCTGTTCGAATATTTGTATTGTTTCTTGGTTTATATTTGGGTATTTTTGATAATGTTCTTGAGCCAACCATTTGATGCCATCTTTAAACCAGCGAATATCCTCTTCTTTTGTTATACAGCAGTGTTGCTTTAATAAAATGGATTCAATGACTGTTTGTGTTATCGGAACATGACACGTCCTTGATCCTATCACACATCTTGGTCGTTTGATAAGACCATCGTTTGTATATTCTATGGAGCATAAATTGTCTAGCGTTTGCTTATATTTAGTATAAATCTTTGGCTTTTGATCTATAATGTCTTTTTCATCATAATCAACCAGACAATCTTCATCAAACTCTTCTTGAGCAGATTTACGTTTATATAAAAAGTTCATTTTGAATGAAAAGAGAAAAAAAGAAACCAAGCCCTTTGCTCCCTATTTATGTTGTTCTAAAACAAAGCCCCCCTAAACTTTGGATATGGACTTCATTTATGCACTGTACTTAAATTCTAAACGATTTCCCTTTTTTGAATGTTTATATTCTTTATGATAAATAATGAACCTCTGTTAGTCAATTGACTGTCTATCAGACTGATTGTGTCTTTATAAGTCCTAGTCAGAAACATAACTTGTTCTTTACACTTATCATTAGTCTAGAATTCATTGTTATTACATACAAATACACTTATACATACACTCTTATTGACATCATCATCACATCGACAATCACCTCTTCTTCTTCTCTCCCTTTTGTAAATTGTAAATCCGATGATTGTCATTCCCAAATAGAAACACAATAAATTCATCCCTGCCTTTTCTTTCTATCTCTCTTTCTCTCTCTTTTTTATATATATATACAAAGACATGTTATTAAATGGATAAAGAAAATAATAATAGCTTAACTTCTTTTCAATTCGAACCTAAAGACAACCGTACTAGTGAAGAAGGTGTACTATCAAAAATATTGGATAAAGTTAAAAGTGCTGTATCGGGTCAACCAACGTCATGGGCACACGACAATGCCTCCATGCACAGTACACATTCTGAAAGAAGGATCTCAAACTCAACTGAGCCTTCTGTCATTTCTATACCTCACACTGTATCAAATGTTATTGCCGTAACGGAATACCCAAATAGTAGTAGCAACAGTAGCACAACCAGTCAACGTTTACCAAAGGACTCTGTTCTAGCCAATTTTCCAGTATCGTCTGATTCCCTTTCAAAATCGTCAACAATTGCTACAACAGCAACTACAGTCATTGTTGGGAAACATGGTAAATTACCAGAGGACATGATTGTCGAACCAGCTCATTCAAGCTCTACTGTTCAGTTTATTATGCCTTCAACTAGCAACAATAATAACAATAGAAAATCATTGGAAGAGAACTCTGTCGATCTTTTGCCTTTGTACACTCGAAAGTCTATCGATAGCGATACTCAGTCCGTTGCTACCAACTTTTCAATATCCAATTCCAATTCATTAGGTAAAATCCTAGCACGTCTACGAGGACAAAAGAATGACAAGGAGTTTTGGATGCCGGATGAACAATGTAAAGAGTGTTACAAATGTCGTAAACCATTTACTTTATTAAGAAGAAAACATCACTGTCGTACTTGTGGTAGGGAAATAGAAAGAATGCCTCTCTTTTGATGTATTAAAATACATGTTAGGTCAAATATTCTGTGGTAAATGCGCTTCTCATATCGTATCAGGAAAACTCTACAAACAAAAGGGTCAAGTAAGAGTATGCAACTTTTGTTACAAGAAGCAACAACAACAGTTACAGGAGAAAAGCATCAGTAGCACAACAGAGCCGATCATGCATTTCAAAACTGTCAGCTCTCCGCTCTCAAGGCAGATAATCACCGATAATAATAGCGAAGAGACGAGTCAATTGACATTACTCGATCAAGCAGAACAGTATAGTTCTGAAATAATACCATCTCAAAAGCCACCACTGGCTGTTCCAAACATGCAGATACCCACAGCTGCTCTCAAACAAGCAAGAGGAGCATATGGCAATGAGAATACAACCACATTTGCACTAGAAATACCGATATATGGATCTGAATCATATTCGTCTTCTCAATTAGAACGGCCGCATTCACCTTTTGTAGCCATGGCTGAGCAACCCACATCACCTACATTGTACAATACATCTACAATAGCAAATACTTCATCATTTAGCGTTACAAATATGCCTGATAATCACATCTATACTGGTGTCAAACGGCTTTTGGACGCTGGAACCTCATTTATTAAACCAAGGCCTAGATCCAATACCTCATCCTCTGCCCCCTTGCTTGAAGATTTCCGCTCAACCCAGCTGCCATTCAGAAGCGTACCCTATTTGGACCATGGAGGAGGCACAGTGCTTGCCGAAAGTGAATTAAGCTCATTTCCCAGCGCTGTTGTAGACCCTGACGAACAATACGAGGATGAAGCTGCAGCTTTATATGATAGACCATTGACACCTCTTAAAACCCCTCTTTACAACGACAAACCTAACAGCAGCAACAGTGATCCTCTATCACCTGCAATCAATGGAGGCATAAGCGATGATGAATCATATGACCATCGGTTGAGAGCGAAACGAACAGAAGAGCTACGTGGAAAGAACGTACAGCTGATCAGCAGCAAATCCTCCTACCATTCCTACAGAAGGCCAAGTATTACGGGGTCTACCACGCCCAAGCTTAGAAACAGTGGACTTCACAAGATTAATACTGTGGGCCTGCCAAAGTATGACTACCCACCTTCCTCTGCTGGCCCCCTTCAACTGGAGCAAACATGGTCTCCTAACCCACTGCTTTCACCTTACAATGATGACGCAAACAAATTCTTCCCGCAATCGGACAGCAACAACAGGTTTCGATTTGTACCTCGTCAACGACGGACGTCAGGGCCACCACCCACAGTTGAACTTAGTCTTAGTGCACGACAGCATGCTCGTCTACTTTTACGACAGTTTATGCAGGATATCCAGTTTACAGAGAGCAGCAAGGAAGAATGGGAGGACGTGATTATGAACATTCTCATGAAGGTAGCCAATAATGTACAGCCAGACACAAGAGCGGGAGATGATATGGATGTTCGCCACTATGTCAAGATCAAAAAGATTCCTGGAGGTTTACCTTCTGATAGCTTTTATGTCAAGGGTGTCGTTTGCACCAAAAATGTCGCGCACAAACGAATGGTAAGAAACATGTCAAGTCCACGCATCCTGATTCTTTTGTTCTCGTTGGATTATTCACGCGTCGAGATGGAAAATCAGCTGTTATCGATCACACCTGTGATCTCACAAGAAAGAGAGCATATTAGCAAATTAGTGGGACGTATCGTTGCCTTGAAGCCTTCACTGTTACTCGTCAAATCAACCGTCTCAAGGTTTGCGTTGGAATTCTTATTGGAAGCAAACATTCCAGTAATACACAACGTCAAGCACAGTGTGATTGAAGCAGTAGCACGATGTACTGAAGCAGCCATCGTCACTTCAGTAGATAAGCTTCAACATGGCGTCTCCTTTGGACGATGTGGATCATTTGAGATCCGAACATTTATGCATGAGTGGATACCTAATCGACGAAAGACCTACTTAATATTTGATGATTGCTCTCCTGAACTAGGAGGCACAATTGTGCTGAGAGGAGAAAAAGTTGAAACATTAAAAGTAATTAAAAGATTAATTGATTTCATGGTGTTTGTCGTAAATAACCTAAAGTATGAAACTTCATTATTACGAGACTCTTTTGCTAAAAACCGCGGAGCTTCTGAATCGGAAGAAAGAAAGAGATCTCCACTCATGCGTCAAAGTTCGCTTGGTATAGAGAAGCTTCATGATCTAGAAGATGAAGGTCACAACTGCACAGAACTATTATTACAAGCATACCAAAACACCATCTTGTCTGTATCCCAATTCGTTGTCTTCAAACCGCCTTATTTATTGCTAAAGCTTAAAGAAACAGAAGAAAGGTTGGCAATGGTCATTCAACAAAAGCGCAAAAAATCTATATCATGCTTGTCTATCCTGAAAGATGCCGCGTCTACTGTGTCAACACCTGCCGTTCTTTCATTATCTGCTTCTCCAACCCGAACTACCTTTGACAAACAGGTTCGATCACCAATGGAAAAGCAACAATCCATAAGTCATCCAGCGTCTACCTCTTCCTATGACACGCAAGAAGGTGACGAGTTTACATCCGAGTTTGAACAAGAGCTTATCACAAAGAGTCATCAGATTGCTCGTGCATGGGAGGCATATCATGGAGAAACACCAGAGAGCATCAGTCCACTCTACCATCAAAACATCGTTGTTCTTTACTCGAGCGTTTGCACAGTGACGACTGTGCCTTGTCAGGGCCCAGAGATTCGTATATTTGGGTACTATCGAATGCCTTCCGACAAGACACTAGGTCAATATATCATGGACCTATGCGCAGATGCGCATCAGCCATGCACCTCGTTTATGTGCGATCATCCTATGCTCCAGCATTATCGCTCTTATGCTCACGGAAACGCACGGGTCAATGTAATGATTGAACAATTTCCTTGTCCTCTACCTGGCATGTCTGACAAGCTACTCATGTGGAGTTACTGTAGGGAATGCAACAAGCCTACGCCTGTTCTGCCCATGTCTGAAAACACATGGAACTATTCATTTGGTAAATTTCTAGAGATTTTTTTATATCAAGAAGGTGTTCATTGCCGTGCGGATATCTGTCCTCATGATATGGCTAAAAATCATGTACGTTACTTTGGTTATATGGACATGACAGTCCGTTTCCAGTGCGATCCTATTGAGCTCTTGGAAGTGTCTGTTCCTCCGATGAAACTCCATATCAAGAGTAAAATTCAGCGAGACTTGAAAGAAGCAGAACTCAAGTCACTTCGAACAAAGATCAATCGATTTTATCAGTCTATCGTCGACAGAAACAAGGCATTTCCATTTGATTTGGTGGATCCAAGGAAATTGGAAGCATGTAAGGCCGAGCTGCAGGAACTCTCTTTGGAAGCTCAAGGAGAAAAGAAGGATACACTACAGCTTCTGCAAAACGTCTATGCCACATCTGATCCTGTTGATACACTTACCATCAATGGTGTCCGCAGGAGTTTGTTCCAGATTGTAGCTCATTGGGAGGCTGTCTATGCTGATTTTGTCAGGTTTTATTTGGAACCCGAACGCGAGCTGAAAAAAATTACAACCATTCATCTTCGAAAGATGTTTCCTACAGATTTCTCTGATATGAATACGGATGAACGTACAAAGCGAGCGACAGAAGTGACAGATTTGCCGCTACTTGGTATCGGCCTCGACGATAATGATGGTGATGCCTTAATTGGCCGAATATTGAAAAAGAAGTCTACAGCGACAATTAAGCCAGATGAATCCACAACTAGGCAGAACAATGATATGATCATGCCTGCTCTATCATCCACACCATCATCAATGCCAATAACAGATATGATGGAAGAAGACAGAGACGAGGACAACATGGCATTGGGTGCACAGTCCGACAACAAGACTTCTTTCTTGCGACCAGAGGTTAGAAGACGCCTCTCTCTTGAGCTGATGCGAGAATTTAATGAAAAGTTAAAATATGAAGAAGTAACTAGTGCAGGAGCAGCCAATACTACAAATGATATCAGCTCCTTTAGTCAGACAAGACCTAACAGGTATCTGCAGCTCAGAGTATCTGGATCTCTTTCAGCCGCATATACTCCTTCTCGCATACCGCTTTACTCTGGTAAAAATAACTCTCCTCTTTCGGTATACCAGCAGTCTTCAAAGCAAGCGACAGCAAGTACAAATGAAAGTAAAACCGCCTATAAAACTACTGTGGGCCCTAGTAACTTCTCTCATGTGTGTTCTATTGAGAGATTCCCAAGGTTTCCACCACACCAACGACACCACTCGATTGCTCATGACTACCATATTCATCAGAGATATGGCAAATCAAAGGCCTCTTCCTCCGTTGATGATAATGATGAGTTTGAGCCGTCTCCTAGCTTTTTGCGAAGAAGCGCCACCTCCAAAGATAAACGGTTTCGCTCGCGTCTGCCTCGTAAAAAGACATATATTCAAGTGTATGACCAAGCCAATGATCTTGTGCGAGAAGATATTGATGACGAATTTTATCCGGGTGGTCAAGCAGACGATACACTGTCCATTTCGTCCAGACAAGCTGCGCATAGGCTAAAGACTGATTTATCGCTGCCAAGACGTAAACCTACCAGTTACCGTCAGGCTCGTCATCAGCGTCATCTACAACTAGGATACCATGCGCACGAGAGCGGAACAGATGCCGACAACGATGATGACTCTGATGACGAAGGAGAAGAAGCATTTGATATGGGCAAGGGTGTTGACTACTTTACACCGTTAGCACCATTTACCTTTGAAGTACTTGATGAACCAGAGACGGATAATAAGCTAGAAGTTGAGAATACACAGGGTAAGAGCGATGATGGTTCTACAGCAAACTATGTAGTAGTAAAGCCCTACTTTGGTCTCAGCGATGGTCAAGTCGATTTGATGTCAGGCATATCAGGAGATGACGAAACAGACCTAGATTTTTTGCCTTTAGCCTCGGATTTGCTCATGGCACAGCAGTCTGCAAATGATGCTCTAGCCATCAGTGACTTACACAATATACATCCAGAACTTACGACTACCACTACAAATACATCTACTTCTATTCGTTATATAACTGCAGCAGCCAATGATGATAACCGAAATTCACCAGAAAAGATGTCATTTATGAAAACAATCACCAATTTCTTGACAGACAGCGGAATTGGCAATTTGCTTCCTTTAGAATCTCCATTGTAAGTGTTGAACAGGTCCTGCCAAAGAGTGTATCTAATTCGTTTATACATATAGACAACCTACAGAATACTTGTTTCCTGATTCTTATGTGGTTGTTCGAGAAGACGAGCCTAGTACGATTATTGCTTATACGCTTAGCTCTGAAGATTATCTAGACAAGATGCATGATATTCAAAACTGTCATAGCGAATCAGGCATGAACGATACTCACTTGAAGACTTATGATTCGATAAATATAGACAGAAAGGCACCTTCGGAAAACTATACCTTTGAGAATGGATTGCATAACAACATCCCACAGGCAGCAGAAGCGATCCAAGAAACGCTTTTGCGTGAATCCGGTAGCCATATGCGATATAGTACGTGTGTATGCTTTTGATTATATACATACAAACTAATACTGTTTATACATAGACTTTTCTACAGGTTCTACAAAGTTCTTTTGCAAGATTTTCTTTTCTGAACAATTTGATGCGCTTCGAAGAAACTGTGGATGCGACGAAAGCTACATCATGTCTCTTGCTAGCTGCATAAAATGGGACTCATCTGGTGGCAAATCAGGTTCAGCGTTCCTGAAAACCAAAGGTAACATAAAAGCTAAGCAAAAAAAAAACTATGCTCATAAAGAATGGTAGATGATCGACTCCTCATGAAACAAATGTCACGATATGAGTTAGACGCTTTCCTTGGATTTGCACCCGCTTATTTCCAATACATGTCGGAAGCATTCTTTAGTGAACTACCTACTGCCTTGGCCAAAATATTCGGTTTTTACAGTATTGGTTACAAAAACTCGAGTACGGGCAAGTCAATGAGAATGGATGTTTTGGTTATGGAGAATTTGTTTTATCAAAGAAACATCAAAAAGGTATGCAAGTGTACAAGTAATAGCATATGGCTTATGTCTTGCTAGATTTTTGACCTTAAAGGCTCCATGAGAAATAGACATGTACAATCCACTGGAAAACAAGACGAGGTCCTATTAGACGAAAACCTTGTAGAATGTGAGTTGGAGATAAATAACACAACCTAAAACCATTAACGTATCATAGTGATTTATCAATCGCCACTCTTCATCCGGGCACACTCGAAAGAAATTCTTCGTAGCTCTCTGCATAATGATACTTTGTTTTTATCCAATCGAAACGTCATGGATTATTCGTTGCTTGTTGGAATTGATGCAGATCGACAAGAGTTAGTTGTAGGCATAGTTGGTAATGTGACATGACGCTAGTGTTTGTTCATATACATTAACACCTTTTATAAATAGACTTTATCCGTACTTTTACTTGGGATAAAAAACTGGAAAGCTGGGTAAAAGAATCCGGAATACTGGGAGGCGGTGGCAAAGAGCCGACTATAGTATCACCTCGACAATATAGAATAAGGTTTAGAGAGGCTATGGAAAGATACTTTTTAATGGTGCCCGACTTTTGGGCTCTTACCAGGCAAAACAGAGCTCTCTATACAGTTTTACATCATCACACGACATCACAGCAAGCTGCAACATCAATCAATGATGAAAACGCTTAAAAAGACCACCATATTTTGTACATATTGATATTGCACATTTTGTAGAGAGAAAAATAATAATAAAAAGAAAAGGAGCTATTACCTGAAAACAGCTTTGTACGTATTAAATTCATCCAAAACTTCAGATCTAAAATGGATCCAGTATACCAAGGGCCTTACAGAGTTGTAAGAAACGCAAAAAGGTACGTATATGTTGAAAGATACAACAGGCGGCATTATGCCAAAAAGCTACACTGTATCACAACTGAAGCCGTGATTTAACGATCATGAAAGGATAGAATACGAACACAATCCCCATTTATCAAAGGTGTTACTTTAGTAACGCGCATCCTTTTTGGCTCCCTTTCATACAAATAACCATAGCGATAATCATGTTGTGTGTACGCGTGAAAGAAACAAAATAGCAGTTACAAAAGTGCATAAAGATATATTTTTCTTTTCATTATTCTTTATAAATGCTGGTCAAAGTCCTCAGCTCTGTCGATTGGAACCAAGTTTATCTTGTATGGAGGAACTACTATGAACAGAGGGGATATGCAATTGCATTCCAAACATTCTTTCATCCCAACAACTTTTTTGCACCTGATAGCGACACATTTGGCATTCCATTAAAACTAGGTTTGAAATTATAAAAATGGGAAAAGTCATGTCTAAACGTGTACATTGACAGGCAAAACAGTAACTGATGAGTATATGGTAGTCATGTCACTTCAAATCTATAAACAACTAGCTCAGCATTTTACAAGACAATTCCCAGATGCGCCTTTACCTCCATCAGTAGATGAGTTAACGATTCATAAATGTGAAGTGATTGAAGCATTCACAGCGATAACAGATACAGTACTCAGTAAACACAAGACAAAGGCAAAGAAACTAAACAAGAAACATGAACATATGCGCAAGGCAAAGGAAGAGGCAGCATTGGGCAAGCGATTGGTAGAGGAAGGCAAATATGTGTTTATGGCAATTGATTTGGAAGCATATGAGCGGGACCACAGCATCATCTTGGAAATCGGTTGGTCCATCTTTGACTCCCGTACACGACGATTTATGGACCAGCATTATTTAATTGATAGTTATCAGCATTTAATTAATGAAACCTTTGTGGACGATCAAAAGCTCAAATTTGACTATGGTACCTCTGTCTGGTGTTCCTTGAAGCAGGCCCTTGAGGAACTTAAGAAGGACCTCACTTGGGCCGTGAAACGTGATGGAGGCTTTGTTCTTGTCGGACATGGACTGATAAGTGACTTGAAGTATCTGAGGCAGCAAAAGTTTATGTGGCCCACGGTAGATGGAGGTGAAACAAAAGATGTGAATAATTCAGCATGTGTGGCCATTTTGAATACTGATACGATTTATGGTGCATCCATTAATGACTTACATAATCCACCTTCATTAGGCAAAACACTGGATAACTTTGGAGTCGAGACATGGAATCTTCATAATGCTGGTAATTTCCATTGTATTAATATTATGTAATTAATTATTATTATTGTTTTCTAGGCAACGATGCTCATTATACAATGCTCCTTCTTCTTATTCTCCTTGGATACGAAAATAAATAATACGATTAAATGAACCAATGAATGGATTGACTAAACTCACTATTTAATTAAAAACTTGCACGCGAACTTATTTTATATTTTACCACGTTGTCTGTATCCAATCAGTCAGCATGATTCAATATGATAAATACCAAATAGATTCAATTTGGGCACAGACATTTTGTGTTACACCAAGCATGTTCCACGGATACGGCCTGCATCATGATACAAATGTGTCAAATACTTTATAAAAATAGGTAAATTCCTTATTTTAGAATGAAAAAAGAGCATTGTTATTTTACAAAAAGTCTATAAGAAAAAAAAAAAGTAAAGGGAAAAAAAGGGTAATTCATGTCAAATAAATAGTCATATAAAGAGGGCATAAGGGTTTTCATAATAACATAATGATTTGCGCGCAAAAGTAAAGAGGGCATAATGGCATGAATAAAAGAAAATGAAAAAAAAAAATGACATGAATTGAATGAGCAATCAATGTGTAAGAATATGTGAAGGGGATATCATTGCAAAAAAAAAAGAGAAAAAAAAAGAGAAAAAATGTAGTCTAAAAAAAGGTGGATGGTATGAAGTATAGCCTCTATAAAGTGTTCACTCCTAAATCGCTTTGTGTTGTATATTGGTGTCCATTCTGTTCATTAACCTTGAGAAGGATAGACAGGCTTATTGAAACCATATTCAGGCCATCCTTGTTGATTGGTATAAGGATAATAAACATAAAGATATGGTTTTTGTTGATCATAATGGGTATACTGTTGTGGGCGGTAAGCGATAGGTGCAATCATGGGCGGTGAGTTACGATAGTCGATAGATGAGCTCGAAGGACTGGCAGGTGAATCTTCAGAATCACAGCTGGTGGTTGGAGACGTAGGTGAATAAGTAGACGCAGCTTTCAACAAACTGAACGATTTCCACTGAGCATCATGGCATCGCTGGTGTCTCGACAAGGTAGTCTTTCGAGTAAAAGATTTACCACATCCATTGACATCACATACATAAGGGCGTTTGCCAGTATGTGTACGGCGATGTCTTGCTAAGGAAGAAGACTAGGTTGGGGTTAGAACATATGATCAAAATAATGACAACAGAATATAAAACTTACATCACTAAAGGATTTGCCGCAATTTTCATACTCGCAAGCGTGAGGTCTTTCTCCTGTATGTGTGCGGTAGTGAACAGTAAGAGCAGAGCGTTGAATGAACTGCTTTCCACAGTTGTGCCATTCACACTGATAGGGTCGTTCTCCAGTATGAATTCGCTTATGTCGTGAAAGATCGGACCTTCGAGAGAATCGTTTTCCGCAATTGTCCCAATTACAAACGTAGGGCTTTTCTGATAACTGTTGTTGCATTGTCATAGTATTTATATCATAATTTGGAGTATATAAAGGCGCAATTGGCTTATATGTTTTAGAGTCGTCATGTGTATTAAGTAAATTACGAATATCCATTATTAATAAGCTTATAATAAAAAAGTTAAAAGGGAGGCGTAAAAAAGAAAAAAAAAAAATTAAAAGATTAAAGAAAGAAAGAAAGAAAGAAAGGTTTAAATACTCAACAAGGAACCAAGTCAACGACAAAAGCGAGAGAAGGGGGGAAGGATAACCAAAAAAAGTCACGGGTTATAAATTAAGGTTGCAAAGTGAAGATTGTAGTACAAAACTATTTTCAATAAATTCTATGATTAAATGAATAAGGGTATTCATAGGCGGGGAATGTAATTCACAGACAAGAATAGTGCCTATAGTTTCATTATACATTTATAAAGCCACGTTTTTTAAACACTAATTTTGTGTGTCCCTTGTTCAAATTATCGCGTGTACCTGTACAACAGTGGAGCAGTGAGAATAGCACTTTTGAAACATTTTAGGAAATTCATATTCCAATGATACTCATATAAAACCTGTATATGAGTAGCAACAATACAACAGACGTCAAATAAGAAATAAGCACGAGCCAAATACGATAAAAGTAAGGTTACCATGACAACTACCAAGGGTACCCACTCAATTAATACTATCGTACCCCTTACTCATAAAATAAAAAAAGGGCGCCAATTTATCGGAAAACAAAGGAACAAGACGTAACTTTTAGGTGATCGGCTAAGAATTTTATAGTAGCTAAATTTATAAAAGTGACACAAAACGATGCTCAGATTGATCTTGTATTACATTGAACGAGAAGCATGTCTCTTTATATTCTCGCTACACAAACTGTTTCTTTTGTTCTAACCATGGCAGCCATCGCCTAAGGGTCGTCATTTTTTACCTCAAATGGAGCTTTTTACTTCCTTCTTCGGATTTATTTAATTTAAACGATTGCTTACCTGGTTTGTTTGCTGCTTTAATCAGTCCACAAACATCCCTAAACGGATCCTTTGTTTTTCGTGATTAATGTAAATGCTGCTCGAGCGGAGTGCTGGAAACCACATGGCAAAGGTGCCTCAGTTTCTCTGTTGACCCCAAACAGTGTCCCCGAGGGATGTTAACAAGACCTTATTCCTCTCCTTTCTTATTTTTTATTGGTTGCCACGCCTTTTTTTTTCTTCCTTCAACTAGAGGTCCATGCGTTCTCCTTTCTCCTTCCCGATTATTTATTTTTGGATCGTGACTAAGAGAGGAAAAACGGGTGACATCAAGTTGAGTCTTAACCTTTTTTTAATTTTCTTTCTCTATCCTAAGGGTTCGTCTTATCTTTCGGCGTGAGCTTACTGCGCATGTGTTATATAGCATAAAAATAATAACCGGCATGACGTTATATTGGGAAGAGAATTTCTTCTTTTTACAAATTTTATTGTTGTTAAAGGAATGAACAAGTTACCACGACTGATAAGTATAACCGTCCTACATTATGACTTCGCATTGTATCAGCCTGCGTTATATTCTAAGAAATTTTAGTCTAACGTTCCAGGAAGATCGACTATAGTTATTATATAAACGTTACAAGCATGAACAGAATGTGCTATTGGTCCAACTTTACTCGTTCCTACTCCTTCTTTCCTGGAAAGGACAGACGTTTCCTAGAAGAATGTCTTGGAACTTCTTAATAGACGACGCAGGCTGATAGTATGCATCTTAAATTCTGAAAACGCCACCATTAAACCCTTCCTGAGCTCTTGAAAAACATTGAGAAATACTCTAAAAGGCAAAAACTATAAAGTATCAATAGCATTCAGCCATTGATAGACTTTAGCAGCAAAATTGACAACTGTTTCTCGGTTATCAGATGAGAATTACTGAGCAGGCAGCTCCTGATTTGGCAACAGCCGACGATGAAAGAAAGAAGGGGGACAACCCTGATCGCACAGAAGCGTTTGTCGCGACACGTAAACTTGGACGCCAACAAAAAACAAAATGCCATTGACATAATGCAACACAGTCATAACGACATGTCATATTTAAACTGACGATATCCCTCATTTATATAGGTTGTGGAACAGCTGTACGCCCTTGAAACTTTAGAAGTCAGGAAGAGATAATCGAATCATACCACTTTTTTCCCTATACATTCATGCTTTATGTAACAAGGCAACTGTTCTCTTTGTTTGCTTTCTGTTTATGTGTAAATAAATGTTCACTGCTTCAGGAAAGCCAAGTCGTACTTGGTGAGAGTCGGCGTCTGACTCTTTATACATTCCATAACTTTCTATCTTTTTTGCCTTATTTGGAAAGAGCTTAACATACGAACTGTCAAGCAAAGCTCACAAGACCTATACAAGTGTTTGCCTTAGCCTAAGCCACTATTTCTCGTACTGTGGATCTACCTTCTTCAAACTGAAGCTTTGAATATCTCTACACTCCCTCGCCAACACTATACACACTAACAATAATTAAGTTACAATTTAATAATAATTAATGCAACATATCTAAGACTTCAATGTTTACACAAATTTCTCTCTCCTTTATTAGATGCCTTCAATCTATTGGTCTAAAAGGTTGGTGTTATCTATTTGCTTTACAGCAACTTGATTTAATATGTGATGCACAAGGAAAACAATGTCCATCTCTAATGGAAAAACACTTTAGCCCTTGAAACCTTACAGAGATTGAATAGAGATGGTTTGCCTCATTTGTTCGATTCGACAAGAGAAACGTACAGATAAGAATGAGGACGTTCACATCAGGTCACGAATCGTACGAACAATGCCAGATAGCACACGACATTTTTTTTTCTTCTGTGACATTGTGTTATGTCATTGCAGTGTGCTTGTGCTTGTGATCTGTGACATGGAAAAAAGCTTCCGAAAGAATACCACCATGCATTGACTCTCAGGTGATAAGTTTAAAAAAAAAAAAACAAAACGCCCACATTCAAGTAGAGTTTTTTTATATATAAAAATGTAAAAAGCACATTCATGATGTATAATAAAGTTTCTTTTTCTTTTCCTTCTATGTTTTAAGCACCTGTGCCGTACTTGCTCTTCCACACTTGTTCCATCTTTTCGTCAATTCTGGTAAACAAATATTCTGCACCACCCAAAACATGGCCAGGAAGAATATCCAAAGTGAACTGATCAGGGATATTACGAGCAGGTGCATTCAATTGACGACACATACTGTCCGAAGTCGCGGGCATAAAGGGTGAAACCAAAGCTGATAAGAGGTAAATCAGGTTAGCGGCAGATGCAACAACAGCGTCACATTTAGGTCGGCTTTCATCAAATAAGGCATTGCTCAAGTTAGCTTCTTGAAGGTATTGATTGCCACGAGCAGAGAGCGCCATGACGGTACCGAGTGCAGCTCGGAGTTTGACAGCTTCCATTTGCTCAACGAACTGCTTCAAAAGAGCATTCACATCCTTGAATAAATCTATTTCTAATTGGCCATTGAAGTCTGCCTTGGGAATAACACCGTCGTATTTGGCAAAGATGAAACGAATAGCTCGGTTAACAAAGTTACCAAAGTTGTTCAACAATTCACTGTTGTTCTTGGTAATGAATTCACTCCATGTGAACATGGAGTCACTGGATTCGGGTCGAACTGACAAAAGATAGTAACGCCAGACGGAAGGAGGAATGCCCGTTTCCTTGGCGTTGTTGCCAAACACACCCACGTTACGCGACTTGGAGAATTTACCGCCTTCGTAATTGAGATATTCTGAATTGTAATAATTAGCCGTGTCCTTTACATTAAAGTACTATCTATTTACCACAAGTACTGATATGATTCACCTTGGTCCATTTCTCGCCAGTACCGATTTGAACACCAGGGAAGATGACAGAGTGGAATGGAACATTGTCCTTGCCCATGAATTGGTACAACTTGACCTGTTCGGGGTTTTTCCACCACTTTTCCCATTCGTCCGTGTAGTTGGCTGTAATGCTTGGATAGCCAATAGGTGCATCGAACCAGACATAGAACACTTTGTCTTCGTATCCTTCAAGAGGAACAGGTACACCCCATTTAAGATCACGGGTAATGCATCGAGGCTTCAATCCTTCCTTTAACCAAGATTCAGTAATGTGTATACCGTTGGCAGACCATCCACCTTCAGTGCTGGATTGCTTAAATGTTTCTTCAATGGCAGGCTGGAGCTTGGTTAAGTCGAGGAACAGATGGTTGGATTCCTTCAAGATAGGTCGGTTGCCGTCAAGCTTACAGCGAGGCTCAACGAGCTCAGTTGCATTGAGCAATTTTCCACATGCGTCACATTGATCACCGCGGGCATCCTAATAACAGAATAAGTACCTTAAAAAGAAATGGCTACTATTGTCTTACATTGTATTGACAGAGAGGACAGATACCTTCGACGTAACGATCAGCCAAGAAGCTTTGAATGGTAAAAGTCAGCTTTTTATAATTACCGAGGGAATGAACTTACCGATGACATTGTTCACAATACAATTGAGTCATAGATTCCTTGACAACATTACCATTTGCATAATTCTTCTTAAACATGTCTTGAACGATTTCAGTCTGACGGTCAGTCGTTGTTCTTCCAAAGAGATCAAAGGAAAGATCAAACCACTTGTAGACTTCAGTATGAATTGCATTGTATTTGTCACAGAGTTCTTTGCATGACACGCCTTCTTCCAATGCCTTCGTTTCAGTGGCTGTACCGTATTCATCTGTGCCACAAAAGTAAGCTGTGTTGTATCCGCGAGCACGACAGTATCTCGCAAATACATCTGCACTGAGTGTTGAACCAATGATGTTACCCAGGTGAGGAACATTATTGACATAAGGAAGAGCAGAGGTGATCATGATGTTGCGTGCACCTTCTTTAGGAAGAACTCTATTGTTCCTCAACTATTAGTTTCCCTTTTTCTTCTCCCTTTTATCTTTCCCCCCTTACTTGACGTTTTTATCCACAAGTTTAGTAGCGACATTAGTGTTGACCTTTTGGGTTGCAGGATTGACTGTTGGCTTGGGAATTTCCTTTGTCACCTTCTTTTCGGCATGACCTTGCTTTTTTGACTTTGTTCCCTTGGAGTTCTGCGTAACAAATGAGTCATAACACATCCTGACTTTTTACTATTTATTTACTGACCTGTTCCTTGACATATTCCATTGCTGCGGCTACTTTAGTATTCTTGGAAACAATATCAAACCAGGCAGCCAGGAGAGGGTATTTGCTAGGTTCTTTGAAAGAGGCAAATGCTTCGACAAGTGCACCGTAATAGATGATATCCAAAAAGCCAACTTCGTCGGATACCTATGCAAAAAGTGTGTAAGAAATAAAGAAAACGCTTAAATAGAATAGATTACCTTGGCAAACAAATTTCTATGCTTGGCCAGAGTCTCTTCAACTATTTGGAACGCTTGATCGAGTCTTCGCTTGATAATGAATGGACTAATAACAGTTTCTTCCTTTTCGATCACAGAGGACTGTAAGATAGATTCGAGAGAGACATCAAAACGAGTGGCGTTCAGGAGATACCTTTTTTTAATAACAAAAAAGACAGAAAAAAAAATGAGATATATATGACTCAAGTGCTCAACACACTTACTTGACAACAGCATTCGCGTCAGTCAAAGAGATTTCGTCTGACAGGACCAAACTGACGTGTTCACCAGGAACCTCATTTAATTTAATATCCTTTACTTTGGCAGCAATATGAATCTTTAAGGCATTGGCAAATGGCTTGGTGTTGGGTGCCAATTTAGGCAAGGTAAGATTTAGTTTAGACATGTTGAAAAAACAAAACAAAAAGAAAAACAACACAAAAGCAGAAACTCGGATTTATAAATAGGGCAACAAGCCACAGATAACGACAATAGCATTTTAAATGATGGAAATCATCTTGCGGGTGGCGGAAAGCTTAATATAGAAATATAGTCTCTTTTTAACAGCACACTGCACATAGCCTTATTCCAGAGTATAATCTACTTAAGAAACACGCAAGATAAAAGTGAACCCGTAAATATACAAGTCAAAAAGGGAAACACTACCAAAATGTATCAAGGGCATAATTTCAGTCAAATTCTATTTTTTTGTTTCTCTTTTTCTTTCTTTGTAATATTTAAAGTGTTATTAAACGCCGAGAGGAGGGGGAAATAAGATATTTAAGCAGATTTAATCAATTGCTCCAAGGTTCTTTCAATATCTTGTGCTGATGCATTTTGAAGAATGACTTTACGTTCAATTCCTTTATCTATAAAAGAAATGAGTTATGATTGTCAATAGTACGAAAAACAAACATACCGAAACGAGCAAAGGCACGAGCTTCAACACCACTAGCTTCACGAATCAAAATGGGAAGTTCGGGATTGGCTTGCTTGATAGTAAGGTAGTTCTTTGCAACAAAGTCGCTACAAGCTGTCAGGTTAATAATTCATCTGTTGTGTATGTTTGAAACATATTTCTGCTCATTACCGAAGTCCACTACTGGCGGGTGAGGTTTGGCAGAAATGAAGACGAAGTTCCTTGAGTCCCTTTAATTGTGATCTTAATGCAGACATTTCGTTAATGTAGGAAAAGAAAACCCTTGGAGCCTTTCTCCTCGGTTATTTGAACCTACAAAAAAAAAGATGTGATTGAATCAGCGACAATTTGATGACGTTGCTACGATGCACCCAATCAGAAACGGCAGCTGATATATGGAACAAAAAGCTTACTTAAAAAATAAACAATTTCAAATATAAAAAAGTATTCTAAGACACAAAAGAGGTTTATTAATTTCTCTTGCGTTTGCCAGCAACTGCAGAGCCTTTGAGACGAGAATGGAGGACTTTCTTTTTTTCATCATCAGGCTTGACCTTATTTCTATTCTTATTCTTAACGTTGGCTGTTTCATAGTAATGGACACCAACTTTTCCTTTCTTTGGAACTTCAGTTTCATTGTTATTAGTTTTGGCCTTCTTTGCTGGTTGTTCTTCTTCTTCTTCTTCCTCTTCTTCTTCTTCTTCATTATTACCGCCTTCATCTTCACTCAATTCAAGTTCACTGTCAACTCCCTGTTCTTCTTCATCTTCTTCTCCTTCAATCACAGGAGCCTTAACGACAGGACCTTGTTCACCAACAACATCTTCAAATACTTCATCCCAATCTGTTGTTTGCTTGGCTGCAGATTTTGTTGATTTCTTATTGGCAGCTTCCTCTTCCTTCTTTGCATTTTCTTTAGCGCGTTCTTCTTCAATTAATTGAGCATTATTAGCCAAATCGTCTTCCATGTACTCTGCAGTCACATTGATCTTTCCAAAGATTTGCTCCACGCCTAACTTGCGTTTCTTCTTTTCTTCTTCTTGTTCTTCAGTTAAAGGCTCAATGGATTCAGGAGGTGGAGTATAAAAGGGAATACGACCACGAAGCCAGTCATGGAGCACCATGATGGACACATTATGAATATCAGGCTCACCCTTTTTCAGCAATTTACCCGTCTTACGAGCGATCTGTTCGAGGAAATCTGTAGAGTCTTCCCATCCTTGAAGGCCATAAGTTCTCTTTAGGTATTCAGGTCTCACACGTTCCAAGATGGTAGGAATGGTATCTTCAGGAGAAGCCATCTTTTCTGCACGAACTGAGCCCTTAAGAATGATGTCAACTTCTGTATCATCTGAGTTGGGAGGCACCACACCGGGGCAGTCAATGAGGTAGATACGCTTCATCAATGTGATATATTGCCACACTTTAGTTTCTCCTGGAATAGGAGCCACAGAACAGACTTTTTTGGATTTTAATGTGTTGATGATGGATGATTTACCTGTGTTAGGGTACCCAATAAAACCAACAGAGATCTGCTTTCTGTCACTGTGAAGGGTAGCGAACTGACGCAAGAGCTGAATAAGTGAACCTTTACCGAACGAGTTGTTGATAGATGCGTGGAAGGCAAGTGTGGGTGCAGACTGAGAGAGATGGGATACCCAACGAGCTGTTACCCAAGTAGGCACAAGATCACATTTGTTGAGAACAAAGATGAGTTGCTTGTGAGGCTTTTCTTTTCTAATAAAGTTTTCTACATTTCTACAACGTGTGCCGATAGGATCACGAGCGTCAAGGACGTGAATGATGACATCTGAAGAGTCGATGACTTTGTACAATTCGTTCCAGATACGCTTGGATTGACCTGCTTGAAGATACCAAGCACGACTAGCGTCGGTATAATCAGATTCTTTGTTGGCTAAAAGACTTGAATCCTTGTCAGACTTATAGTTTTCTATAAAGAAAGTATTTAGTTTGTTTTGCTAAATCCGTTCCGATTATAAATTTACCATGTGTGTCATCTACTCTAGACATCAACTCTTCCATAGATCCAATCTCAATCTTAGGCTTCTTTCTTTGTGCCTTTTTGCCAAATGTATTGGAAAATGGGTCTGTGTCGAGGATATGCATGCGTGTGTGCTTTGTAGCGTCTTGCAAAAGTGACATGGGCAGCTTGTTTTGTTTTAACAGCACCTGATAAGGATCACTAACTTTGGCACCAAGGTTTTCTCTAAACTGCTCTAGGGCCTTTTGACCAATGACTCGAGTGTTACCTAATAGTAGTCAATATCTCTCTTCAATAGAGTCTTATTGATGCTAATTACCAAACCATTTTCTATTAGGTGCAACTCTAGCCACTTTTGCTTCTGAACTTTGGTATTCGGCAGCTTGAACGATCCTGCCTTGAGAATCTCGGATGGCTTTTCCACCCTTCAGCATATTGATGTATTTGATCTTTTTGGCATCTCTGTAAAAGTTCTCTCCCTTTACTCTCATGTTCTTGGCACGATCGTCACCACCAGCCTTGTCTCTGGTGACTCTCTGCTTTTCCTTCTTGTATTGTCCCATTTTTTAAAAACTGATCAAGTAAAAGATCAAGATAAAAAAATTTTTGACCTGTGTCTGATTGTGACCCATTTGAGGTCTGTGTCGGAGTTGAACTCATTTTTGCGCCACCCAAACTGTTGCAGCAAAGTACAAAAATTGCCCAGATACACCTAAATAAGACTATCGCAGAGTTTTCAAAAGATTTTATTGGACAGATTCCATTTCCAGTAGAGAGATCATTGCAGATTTGCACATTGAGAACTAAATAAGATCTTTGGTAGATATTTTAAAATGTTCTTCAAAAAGACTATAATATATCTTTGCATTAACTGTTGATCTTTAATGGAATATTACCCTGAGCGTGAGACGGAGTCGATGGAGGATATATTAAAAGTAATATTAAAAGGACCATCTTTTGATGGGAGTTCGATCTTATGCTTCATATTATGAGAGCTGGCAGTCTAAAGATTTTATTGGGCAAATGAATAAACAAAATCAGTAAGCGCTTTGACTAGTCTTTATGATATAGAAGGGTGTTTTCTAATTCATTACGTATTTTTGATAAATAAAGTTACTCCTTGAACATATAAGAAAAACAATTTGACTACATTATCATCATTCTTTTCTTTTCTCTTCGTTTGACAATGAAAAAATGTTGTCAATCTTGATTGTACAGCTTTGGAAGGAAAAGACTCCCAAATAATGTACTTTCTGGGCGCGATTCAAATAAATGATGTAGGTATCTCTATTATCAAACAAAACTTTGATCCTGCAAGGAAAGACGCTTCTAGCGATTGCTGACGATTGGATACTACGGAATGTCCTAAAGTTTGTATCTACTAGGTCAAAGTAAAATCATGGCTGTTTATTTTTTGATATAAAACGTGTTTATGACAATGAATGCATCTTGCAAATAAAAGGGGAAACTTTAAGAAGTTCTAGGTGAAGAATATCCCATAGGTCTATTTGAGACAAAGAACCCGGAAACAATATTTAATCTGTCAGATAATTCATCTCTTCTTTTCAATAAGTTAATGTAAAGATGATCAAATTCAAGATCGTTCATCTCCATAACTTGTATAAAATCTGTAAACTCAGACAGAGCACAGATAGAGTCCCCAAAGTTGTTTGCCAAGTAAACAAGCCGTGTTCTACGGTTCACATTAAAAAGTGGATGTTGATCCAATTCCGAATCAACTACAATATTTATAAAAATTAGAGTAGGCGATATTTGGGAATATGCTTACTTACAGTGGATCCTTCTGGAGAGTTCCTGCTTTAGTTCATTAACCAATCTGTATCCATTGTTTCTTCGGTATAGTTCGTTTAACCTTCTTGCGATGTCTAACATTACCCAATTATACCATGCCATATAAAGTAGTCTTCTTGAGTTGTTATTCAGACCAGACCTACACCATATTTCTACAATGGCGATTTGTAGGTCCTTTGTCTTTACACCGCAAAGCAATATTTCCTAAATAGCGCCTAGTCAGCGCTGACGTATTTATGTAAAAAAAAAAATAGCTTACATTTGCTCTGGTTGTCAACTCAAAAGGTTTAATCATCTCATTCTGTGCAGCAAATACATTGTCTACCTGTGTGTATTCATAAAGGGAATCCTGAGTGTAATCGCTAAAGAAACTCTCTGATTGAGTATCAAAGTAATCAGCTAATATATAGCAATTAATTGTGAGTAAGAAAGGCGTTACTGGCTGCTTACCTGTGTTACTTTGTGGATAAGATGATGCAGTACTTTCTTCATTTCCAGGAGAAAGAGAGACAGTAACGCTGGCGGTGCTAGCCTGTTCAGAAAGAGAGGCTAAACATGCAGTGCAGGAACAGATTAATGCCGGAAATGCTTCACGAGATATATTGAAAAATATACAGCTTGAAGCATCCTCTGAATTTTGTTGATCGTTATTCATTGAAAAGAAATTTAAGAGAAAAACAAAAGTTAAATCATTTGTTTGGCTTTTATAATGGTTCATTATATTTTTATCATAAATAGCGGCATTGAAAAAGTGCTTAATCTATCTATTACAATGTCCATTTACCTACGTTGCCGTAACTAAGCAATACTTAGGACGATAGTTTACAAATGCATTTACGTTCAACTATATTCTTCTAAACTCTTTTTCAAGTTTCTCTTTGAATAATTGTTTATTATTTCATAAGAATAATCTTTACTTCATATTATATCAATAGCAAAGTATTAAATACATAATATAAAAAGCATCATTTATCATCTTGACTCTTGACAGTTGTTGGCTTTTTATCTTCTGGGGCTTCTTTTAGTTACCTTTGTTTCAACAACACTAATGCTTCCATTTATTTTAGACTGTTCTTTTTCTACCGGTGCCGTTATCTTTTTCTTCCTTTTCTTTATCGTCAGCTCCATTTTTAACCTTGACGTTTTTAGTCTCGGAAGCATCGAAAAAAAATGGCATCACAGATAACACCCTTGACAGATCAGATGGTGGACAAAATAAAGGGGAATGCGAAAGCTTCACGTCCTCTAGTATCCTTTTCTTTTGCACAGTAAGAACTAGCAAATGTAGTGCCCTTTTTACTATAGCCTTCCATTAAAGAGTCTGCAGGAGCAGCAACGACATTTTGAAGAGAAAGGAGTACAGTAGCCACAGAGACAGATAAGAAAGTGAAAAGTTTCATTTAATAAATGAAGTGCTTTCTTTGCTGGACAATAAGCAGGCCCTTTTATAGTTTCAGTAGTTAGCCGTACTTTCGCTGTTTACAATAGAAGTCAACCGTATTTATTTATAAAATGTTGCTAGTTTTCAAAGATTGATTTATAAATATAATATCAGCCATATGAGCATATATAAAATAAGCTCATTGTTTGTATGCTATTGTTTATGCTTTTACTAATGAATGACATTGACAACTTTAGCTTCTGTCATGTTCCTTTAGGCTTGAAGCGTATATGTAATGTAATGCTACTTCAATATATATTACTTAAACTAGGCATAAAATGAAAAGATGATTAGATACCTAATGGTAATAGTTTAGGCATTCCGCCTATGTGTTGCAGTAAGACAAAAATATGCAGGATTGATGCGCGAGCTTTAGTGCATGTACCAGATTGGTACCTTGCTTTAAGAAATGCGTCATGCTTCAAGGGAGGTCAAAAGCACTTGGTGAGACTGGTGGTTTTTCTTTTTCCCAAGAAACAACATAGGCAGGGGATCATACATTAAACTAGTGCTGTGAATAAAGTGTATAACAAAGTGTATCAAAAGCGTACACGTTCAATTAACTAAATCCAGATAAGGCCTCATCTCTCAGACTCAAGCTAAAATAATATTTGGATACTTCTACTTCAGCTTCTTTATATATTCTTCATGACCTGCTTTGGTGCTAATAGCAAAAGACATCTTGAGCCTCTTATCAGAACATTTACCCCTTTTTTCCGACCCTCCTTACCGTTGCCTCTAGGATCAACCATATGCATTTTTCTCCATTTTTTTTAGGATCCATTTTCTGCATCATAAACTATACCATAAACCTTGTTAACGCCGCCGAAATTCATTATAAAAAGAGAACTGGAATTGACCTCAATTCATTTTTCATACATTCAAAAGGAACATAGAAAATGCAATTCAAACTCTTGACTCTCGCTCTCTTTGCCAGCTTCTTTGCTACTGGCTTTACCGCAGCTGTTGACACTGGTAGTGCTGCCCAAGACATAGCTCCCATCGTTGGTGGCTTGACAAAAGAACAAAAAGCGTTTATCAAACCGATCGCTGACAGTCTGGGTTTTACAGACCTAGATACAATGCAGGCCAAGTGCTTGTTTGATACTGTTAGTACCATACCTGGTGTTTTTGTAGATGGTCAGCCTGCCCCTTCTCAAATTGTTGACGAGTTCTATGACACGAAGGTATCTGATCTTGTTAAATGTGTTTACCCTGCCGCCAAATAATAAATAAAGCAATACTTGTGATACTTATTAAGGCTTACACTGGTATTCATTCCCAATACTCTTTTACTGCTTTCTAAACTGAACAAAGAAATAAAGAAAGTGCATACTTGTGCTCATAATTTAAACATTACAAAAGCATTATTTTCTCTCTACTTTTCATCACCGTTTAAATTTATTGTAAAGCGAAGTGAACTCGAAACAATCTCCGTACCTTTTACTTTTGTCACATAATGTCTTTAAATCAGTGGAGACAATTCAACTTTTTTGATAAACAGCAAGTAACAGACTCTAATGATCATGGAAAGACTCCTGCAGTATTTCAAGTACCTTCAAGTCATAATTGAGTAAAACAAGTCCCCTTATAACCATTCATATAGAAACATGACCTCTTGGTGTTTACAGCAGGAAGAGGACAAATAGCAGCAGCAGATATCCTTTTAATATACTGATATTATATAATATGAACCTACAAATTAAACGATTATCCTTAACTGCTATGTTTACATAGTTCAGGCAATGTTCACATTATAGATCGTACCTTCAAGTCCAGAATGTTCATAGCCTATGATGGCGGACGTGTTACTCATTTAAAGCAACTTAAGCAAAAGAATATCCTTGTCACGATTGGAGTAAGTTATATCAAGATGTACGTTGATCGATATCTAACATAGTACACTGTTTCTTTGTGTGAGAATAGGAGGATGATACACAATCCGGCATACCCATACTCAAGTTCTGGGATCTGGATGCACTAAAGTCAACAGAAGTATCGGATGATATTATTATACCTACACTTTTACGAACCATCAAGATACAACATGGAGGAAAACCATATCCAGTAAGGGATTGCATAAAGTTTGACGATAATGTATCTCACAAGTCATAAAGGTATCTACATTCGTTATCTTGGAAAACATGTCACAGTGTGCTGTGGGGTTGGCTAATGGTGTAGTGATTTCGATACGTGGTGATTTATCAAAAGATAAGACAGTTAAACAAAAGGTGATCTATGAAGGCGATGAGCCTATTACTGGATTAGGATTTCGTGAGCAGACCAAGTCAACTATCTTGTTTATTGTTACAACCAACAATATCATGTCCTATAACACATCTGCTGCAAAGCCTACTGTGGTAAGTATTTTATACAACAAGGTATATGCTCGAGTTCTGGCTTACGGTATATGAATGTCATTAGACAATACTTGACGAACAAGGCTGTGGGCTTGGATGTGCAGTCATGAATGATCAACAAGAAATAGTGATTGGTCGTGATGAAGCCATCTACTTTTATGATCCAACTGGAAGAGGACCTTGTTTTGCTTATGATACTCCCAAGTCATCATTAACCTGGTTTAAATCAAATTATCTAGTCATCGTATCTCCTCCTGTTACAACCTCCTCTGCAGGAACGCGCAGTTCACTTCATTTTAACTCCTCGAAAAGGACAATAGCAAGCTCAAACGAACTAACCAAAGTGGCCATCTTTGATACGGCTAATAAATTTATTGCGCATGTAGGCACATTCATGGGCGGTATCCGAGGAATATTTTGTGAGTGGAATTCTATTTGGGTTGCTTGTACAGATGGCAGGGTAAACTAATGTTATATGGAAAGGGTCCCCTTTGTACTAAGAATATATATATAGCTTTATCGTTTGGATGAGAAAGATACCCCTACGAAATTAGAGATACTATTTAAGTTAAATCTTTATGTCTTGGCCATCAATTTAGCTCATATGCAAAAGTACGATGATACTAGTATCGCAGAAATATTCAAAAAGTATGGTGATCATTTGTATCAAAAGGGTGATTATGATGGTGCAATGGAACAGTATATAAGAACTATAGGACAATTGGAGCCTTCATATGTGATTCGAAAGGTGAATAACAAAGTGTATTTAGAATGTATAGTTATGCTTATAGAGAATACATAGTTTTTGGACGCTCAAAGAATATACAACTTGACAAATTATCTTCAAGAGCTCCATTCTAAAGGCTTGGCTAATACCGATCATACAACTCTGCTATTAAATTGCTATACAAAACTAAAGGATGTATCTCGACTTGACCAGTTTATCAAGGTAAATATAAAAATGTTTGACAGTACTTCATAATTACTTATACCATTGATCAGACAGACAATGACCTCAACTTTGATCTTGAAACAGCCATTAATGTCTGCCGACAAGCAAGCTACTATGATCATGCTGTTTATCTTGCAGAAAAATTCCAAGAGCATGGTATGTACCTTGATATCATCATCGAAGATATGAAGAAATATTCTGCCGCTTTGGCCTACATTCGCAAATTGGGCCCACATGAAGCAGACCGACATTTACAAAGATACAGTAAAACGTTATTGCTTCACTTACCTGAAGAGACCACAGATGTCCTTTGTGAACTTTGTACTGGCACTCTTGGAAGTGGCACCACCAACAGCAACAGTAATGAGTCCCCAACATCAAGTATTGCTCACAACATCACTGCGAAAGCATTATTATCCAATCTTCCGTTTGCAGGCAATGAGACAACCTCACTTCACTCTGAAACGACAGAACAGCGCAAAAACATGGCACATAGCCGTCTAAGTTATGCACCACCTTCTCCAAGAAAGTTCATGCCTGCCTTTGTTGATCGTCCAGATCACCTTACTCGATTCTTGGAGACAGTGTTTGAAAAGCTGTGGAGGAATAATGGTGATATAAAGTCGCCTAAAGAACAAGAAGAGCGCAAGTCGATTTGGAATACGCTCTTAGAACTGTATTTGATGAAGTCCAACAAAGAGTCCCGTCAAAAGGCATTGGCACTGTTAAAGGATGAATCAGTTGATTATGACACCAACCAAGCGCTTGTACTTTGTCAGTTGAAGCAGTTTGATGAAGGGATCGTTTATTTGTATGAGAAAACAGGCATGTATACGGATATCTTACATCATTGGATGGAAAAAGAGTCGACAGAACGAGTTATTGAAGGTGTACGGAAATATGGGTAAAAGAGCAATGTTAAAGCGTACACGCTGCTTACTTACTAATGAATCTGTTTTTTAGTCCTAAAGATGCTTCCTTATATCCCATGGTCTTGTCTTACTTTTCGTCTTCACCTGAAGTCTTGGCCAAGTCAAGGCAGGAATTACTTTCCGTAATGAAGCATATAGATGAAAAGGACTTGTTGCCTCCCATTCAAGTGGTTCAAGCACTTTCAAGGTCAAATGTGGCAAGTATTGGCTTGATCAAGGACTATATTGGTAAAAAGATTGAATACGAGCGAAAGGAACTGAAGCAGGTAAATCAAAGGACTTTAACACTCTTTATGACTAACAATAAATGCAAACATAAAGAATGACGAGCTAATCGAGAGTTATCGTCATGAGACTGAGAAGCGTAGGAAAGAGATTGAAGAATTGAAGACGAGGTATGATCAATACTCTCTTGTATCATCTCTTTGACTTACTTTGTAAGCATAGTGCTCGCATATTTCAAGTTCAAAAGTGCTCAGGATGTCATGGCACCTTGGATCTTCCAGCTGTTCACTTTTTATGCAGACACTCATATCATCAACGGTATTTCATAGATTGTGCATATATAGACAAACTCATGCTAACACACTTTATTC